AGGTCTCAACTCAATTAGGTCGAAGGACCTTATGAAGTCACAGAAGGGAGAACGACCGAAAGCCTCACGCAGAGGATGGGGAAGTAGAACATTAGGGTGTTTTGTTGAACATCACTGAGTTTGTCTTCAAAAAATAGGTTCCATCTGCCGTGTCTCCGAATGTGAAAGGCCTGTCCAGCCGTGTCTCCAATTCCCTCCTTTCGAATCCTAAAATACAACCTGCTGAACACCCGTGTGGTACGCTCGTAGGACTTTTTCAGCCCATGACCTTATACAAACATACCCGGCTGTGAGGTGGTTCATGCCTTTCCACCTTCGCCTGCTTGGCACATTGAGGAGTCGTGTATATCGCGTGGTGTTTGACAAGTAGAAATCAAAGTCTGTAGATCCCACAAGTTCAAAACAGGACATGAAAAGAGGATGATCAAGGAGGAGACTCATAAACAAAAATCTACAAAGATGTGTTGGTCTATGTGGACCTACGCATAGTGTAAGTTGCAGTACTGGCGTACCATCCTCAACACAAGGTTGGTCTCTCAGTGGTCTTCATGTCTGACACCCGTGGTCCGACTTGCTCGTCAACGTGGACTCGGAGTGATGACCCCAAGATGTTCCGAGCATTTTACCACCACACGACATACGGGTACTCTACGTCATGTCGACTGTGATGTTTTGTGATGTTTCCAAGCCGGCTGAAGCCACAGGCGAAGACGAGGATTACTATAGGGATCACCGGATCACCCTGGGAGTTTTGCTTCTTCATCACGGCTTGGCACCCGACCCACGCCGTTCACCGACAAGGAGACCGACGCCGCCAGAAGGCCGTTGGTGCGTCAGAAGGCCTCGGCGGACAAGTAGGTAGTAGACTGAAAAGCCCGGGTGGAGGCGGAGGATGGTGTGAACTTGTGGCTGCGTGAGCCCTAAGGGGCCCCCTACAACCCCCACCCCTTGTGAAGTTGCATGTTGATTGTTCTGGTTATCGAAGGGGTCTTTGTTGTCATTTTTGGGAGGTGTCAAATCATCGCCCAGAGCAAGGAGTTGACCGAGATGTAATGCATTCACGAGACCCAGACAGGTGGTTTTCACTCCTGAGTGGAAAACCACCTGTTTGCAGAGGACAATGGTTGTCCAAGGGGCCATGTTCCACTTCCATGTTTGTTTGGGGGGAGGGTATAGGTTGACCACATAGCGCGACGCATTCTAGTCTGGGCGCAAAACGCCACGGCCAGGCAATGGTTGACCTTATCATACCATATCAATATAGGAGGTGAAAGAGTTGAAAGAATGCGGGGGTGTTCTTGTTCGTAGGCTTGGACTGCGAAAGTGCGTGTCAAATGCCTGTCGTTGCCAAGTGAGCCCCACATCACAAGCACCTGCACACAGGCTTAAATGTTGGCCACGAAAAAACAACTGCACGAATGAATGTTTGCCAGACAAACCACAAGCGTCTCCAAAAAGTCACTAATCACTGAGCCTTGCCAAAGTGTTGTTCTTGCCATATGTTGCCATACTGAGGTACGGTATCAGTTTTCAAACGCGGTGAAATTTTGCTGCAGGTAGGCAGGTAGGACCTGCCGAACATGTTCCTGAGCACCTTAAATTTCCTTTTGACACCCATGAACATGTTCTGCAAAGCTTTTGGTCCCCACAATGCAGGTGATCGCCAGAAACTGCTGGTTTAGACTCAGGTTTTGCTCTCAGAAAATGATGAGTTGTTCAGAGGACTTGGACTGAAGGTTGCCTTTGTACTCGCTCGACCCAATTCAAGTTAAACATGTCTTGACCTATCAGGCATGCCGTCACTACATTTGGGTCGGTGTGTTTCGGGGTCAGCAAGGCTCACATCGTCGCACAGTCTTTGTTGAGCATGCAGGCGAAGGGAACTGCTCCAGAATGGTCTACAAGTCATTCAGGGACGAGCCTGCAGGAGTTCAGGGTTTCAAGCCTTTGCTTCGAATGCTGGAGCTGTATTGAGTGAATGTTCAAAGGGACTTGCGCGCAATGCGACAGCGTCTCTACTTCCGGCGTTGTTGTGTGAATGTAGCATGTTTGTTTAAAGAACCTTGAGTTTACCGAAAACAATCTGCTGCCATAAGTTGCTATGTGTTCACCCAGCTTGTTTGCTTTCAAGAACATTTACTGGTCTTTGGGTGTCCACATGATTTTGTGGTGCAGAGCAGTGCAGACATTGCAAGCAAACATCCTTAAATCAACATGCCCCTGTCAAAACATGTGATGTCATCCATCGTTATTGACTTTTTCCTGTTGTAGTTTTCTGATGGGTATTATACAGCCTCAAGTGGCTTCAGAACAACAAAGGTTTGGCACAACTGCTTGCATTGTCCCTCGAACATTCTTCAAGCTAGTGCTCGAGGGATGCTGCTCAGGTACATCCATCTGTTGGGCATGGCCGTGAGCACGCATCAACATTGTAGATGCCTGGAAGAAGAAGAAGAAGAAGAAGTAAAAGAAGAAGCGTCTAACACTTCTTGTGAGTTTAGGTTGCCTCTTTCGTCCGATCCACCAAAGCAAGCCAAGAGACGTGCGTAAGGGGAGCTGTACTTTTGCTCCGCCAAGCTAATACTTCCCGTAGCCTCTTCTTGTCCTACCAGCAGCAAGCCGCAAACAGAAACAAGCCGCGAAGCAATCCTTTGATCAGCCTGCTAATGTTCTGAAATGTTGCTCAAATCTGCAGCCTGTGCGTCAACTACATGTACTACGGTCAAGACAGCCAGGATATGTAGGCAGGGGACAGGGTTGACGACCCTGAGATTGGAGCAGATATCTAGCTGTGTTACAATGCTTGCCATAAGTCTTGTCCTCTCGAATTCGCATGTTACTTGGATTTGTTTATGACCTACATGGACGTTGAAAGAGGGGCGGGGGGTCGCTTGTGCGTCGGGGTTTAGGTGAGCGCAACATGGAAAGTATCTCTAGTTTGACTGCACATGAGCAGCGTTTTTACTTCCCCTCTTATTTTGAGTAAGGGACCGGTGAAAAATCAATAAAAGCAAGGTTTCCGTAATGATGTGATGATGTGGCCATGGGCCAATCATTTCATCAGACCTGCCATCGATGGCAAGCCTTAGATCACAGAGAAAAGGCCATCCTTAGATCGTAGAAAGCTGTCTCTGTGTGTGTGTGTGTCGGTTGTGCACGGATGTAAGATGTGATGTTATGGCCGGCGATGCGTAAGTGACCCCTCCGATGCATAAATGACCCTCGATGCGCAAGTGACCCCAATTGTCGATGTGCAAGTGACCCCCCCGGCCGTTCAAAGAAGACATGATGTATCATGATCATATATACGTATACAGGCAAGTACAGGCAACGATGGTCAATGGCAGAGATGGAAAAAATAAGTTGCACTGAGATGACCTTGAAGGGGAGGAAGTAGCTCTTAAAAAATGCAGTCGTGGGGGTATGTGAAGGGTGCAAACTGTCAACTTGCCCGTTCCATTCTACTAATAAGTTGTACATCACTGAGTGTACATATAGATGAGTAATTAGGAATTGTTCCAATATTGCAGTCATATTGCACAGCACCAGTTCAGTTATGATGATTAGCGTTTGTTGAATCACAGCAGGTCAAGGCATCATGCAGTTTTTTGCACGAATGGTCACAGAAGGAATTTCGGCAACCATATCGGTGAGCGACTCAATGCCAGTGCAGGAGTCGACAGAAGAGTTGAAGAAGTGCTTAAAGGATCTGAATGAGTAGAAGACGGTCGAATGTTTCAATGACCGTTTCCAGAATCCACGAAGGCGGCTGCATGTGTTTTGTCCATTCTCAAAGGTGGTTGGTATAAGAACCTGAAGATTGAAAAGCAGGAGTGCTCCTGAATGAATCATGATAGTATATGCCGGGTAGAGAGAAGATGGAGATGGTTGTATTGTGGCAAACTGCGGTCAACCTTATCCTACTCCTCCACGTTAGAAACTGGCGATCTCAAGCTGCCAGCTGTCATGGGTGAAGTTTTTATGAAACGTTGATCAAAAGTTACATAAAACAGAAGTCATTCATTCGCCAGTAGGTTGGAGGCCATCGCTAGTAGGTTGGAGGCCATTGCTATTAGGTTGGAGAATGACTATAAAGTCCATAGTCTTTTGTACTCCAGCAATGTTCTTGATTTTTTCTGTGGTTTCACAAGCACATCGAGGGGTGAAACCGAGAGACATGTCATGTTTGTTGTTTGTTTTCAGCCATCGCTTTGAACGATGTCTACACAGCTGGCACCGTCTATCGCATTTTGGAAGTTCCTGAACGTCCACCCTCACTGCTCACCAGCGACATGTGTACAAAATGACAAGTTGCCTCAGTCAAAGAAACTGGGAAGTCTCTCGGTAAATGCCTACCGGTCAATGACGAAATGATTCAGACCTGCGCCCATGCTTTGCCCTGAATGGTGAACCTTTCCACGTGTCACGCGAGGTCCTCAACTGATGAGACTGCTTCCGCTCCTTTTCTGCCTCTATAATTAATTTGTTTTCTCAGATCACGGTCGCACCTCAACTTGAACCCAATGTTGCACTCTTTTGGCCGTGATAGGCAAATGCAGCTGGAGCGGCTTGAGAAAACCTCTGTAGCGCAAAACCGGTCTAATTCTCAGGTCCTTGCTGGTCCATGAGAGTTCGTGTTGGAATAGCAAGAGTTCCCAACCAAGTGGTTTTAGGCATGTTCAGTGTTTGTTTGGCTTTTCCAAGGGTTCCAATGGAGGGTCCACCTATGCTAGTACACACCCACATGCCTACGTTGATTGAAATGTTCACCGTACTTCATCATGCAATTCCTTCACTCGTTTGGTCATCCAACAATAACATGGTCAGCTGTTGCCCTTTTGGATGTTTGGGCCTGGTTGCTTTGGACAATTTGGTCTAAGATGGTTTAAAGCTGGGCTGACAGCAAACTGGAACCTCTTAGCCCTGTTCCTTTGGTTTCGACATAGACCTGTTCCACCATGATACCAGGGATGTAAGGATCAACAAAAAACACCTCACGCAGAGTGGGCTCAAGTTCAGTGCTGAACCCAGCAGAAGCACCTGACTGCTTTGGGCTGAACGAGGCTTGGCTTGCAAGCTTGACATGTTCCAAGGGCCACTGGTAGGTTAAACGTAGGGCCCTGGTATGGTAAGCTTTGACTCGAGGCACATTTGGTCGCAACAAGGTCGATGCTCGGAAGACACAAATTCCAGTCACCTCCATCCATGTGACCCTTTTGGTAGTTTGCTGCAATAACAGGTTTGTTGTTTGTTCTGGATTGTCAAGCAATCCTTTTGCAGTCGCAGGTAGGATGGCGCTGGTTGATGAGTTGCCTGTGCTTGCGTGCTTAGGGGATGGGGTGGATCTAGCAGTGCTTTTCAATCAAGAGGAGTGTGTGAGAGATGCTATCCATGCCACTGTGTGTATGTTCAGCATACCTTGTTGTGTTTGATCACCTGCATGTCGGCCAGGGCCTATGCTTCAAGAAACCAAACTCATATATTGCCACCTCGTGGCACCAGCATGGTTGCACGGATTTGATACCCTTGGGCCTACAATGAGCTATGTTTGGAACAGTATATTTACAGAAGGGATTGTCATGGGGGGTGGGTTTTTAATTCATAGGTTTTTCAATCATTTTCTAGTTAAGGAACATGAAAAGCCTGCAGAGGATCAAAAAAAA